TGTTGTTGTTGTTGTTGTTGCTGTTCCTGTTGGTGTTGCCATTGTTGTTGCTGTGCCTGTTCCTGTTGTTAATGGTGTTGGTGTTGTTGTTGTTGTTGACGATGTTCTTAGCCAAGCAGAAGAGAAAGACAGTTCAGGCAACAACCTGGTACGCATTGGATGTTAGGGCTTGTGCTGTGTGTTTTGGGTTGGGCAGTGGGTTCCGAATTTGGACATAGCTTTTTGTTTCAGGTTCTTGGTTTAGCTGTCTGGTGTTTTCTGGTGTTTGGGTGTTGCTCTGTTTGGCTTTTGGCTTTGGCGTTTGGCATTTCGAAGTGCGGGCATATGAGTGCTGGTGTGGTGATGGTGATGCAACTAGATCGCGCACCTCGCACGCCTCCTCAGCAATTTGTCAAGATTCGCCACTTGGCAGATCCGCCTCTGCAAATTGAGGCCACCTGCCTTGACGGCAACCGCTCCTGTCGCTCGCTCGCGCCCCTCCGCTTTGTCACGTCGATTTCGGCAGAATCCAGCGCTCTATTCAGTCAAGGCGCTGGGAAACGGCAGGCGTTGCTACGACTCTCTTGCACCAACGAGATTCCCATTGTCCGTTCCTACTATCTAGTGAAAGCGCAGTCAAGGGAGGCTTGGGATAATCAGCGGTGAAAGAGGACCCTCTTGACGAAAGCCTGAGTCCATGGCATCATCCTCTGACTCTGCTGGCACTTTTCCCACAATGTGAGATTCGAGACTGCTTGTGAATGCTTCACGGTTTGCTTGAGTGACGAACTTGGGGTTGTCACTGGAAGGCTGCTTCGCCCATGGATCATTGGCCTGCTGGAAAATGCCCACTTTAGACGAACCCAGCAAGGTGCAGGTTTTTTGTTAGATGCCTCGATCAGTGTTCCGGTTCTGGCCGGCTCATGCTTGGGATCATCAAGAAATCTTGGCCGGCGGGGGGCCTGCCGAAGGGATTTACCATAGGAGCCCTGAATTGTCCTGAGATTTGCGCGTCGTGTGCTCGCCAGCCCCATTCGTCAATGATTCGCTGAACAGTTGAGCCAGCGAATTCCACCAAAATCATACACAATGGGTGTCAACCGGGTCACCCAGTCGAGGACCCAATCGAGGACCCAGTCTCATCCAGTCGACCGAGGCCGGGATCGCGCCGTGAAGACGGGCTTCGCGAAGATGTCGCGCGCCTGGTCGCCTCTGAAGATCTGGCGCTGCAAGTCAGTGGCGGACGCCTCTCCGGAGGAATGGCAATCGGAGGACCGTGTCGAAGCATCTGCAGAACGAAGCATGCAGTCGCGATGCATCTCATACATCCAACACAGATCGGTTTCGGAAGATGAGTGTTCACCTCTCCACCAGGTGCTCTTCCTCACATGTCAGTGACGTGTCACTGTGAGACACAAATTTCTTTGGTACTTAGTACTTCCTGCGTTGCATGCTGGTTTCCACTGCTTTTCGTATCCCGCTTCTCAAGTTCTCCAGTGCCTGTCTTACAGAGACACATTGGGACCATGCGTTTGTGCCGCAGGAGCTGCCAGTGCCAAGTCGGCCTCCGCGCCGGCCGGACCCTCCAGGGCGCTTCGGTGTGTTGACCGGGGGTGACCGCTTGGTGCGGCAGCTGCAAGCATCTTTGGCGCTTTGGCGATGAGGATGGGGAAGTTGCACGGAGGTTGCGCGGGGAAGTGTTTTGGGGGAAGCATGTGGGAGTCGGTCGTTTTGTTTGAGATTGATTATTAAAGGGCCGAAACCGTGCCGACCGCGCTCTCTAGCCGGCTTCATCAAATAACACCTGGTCTATATCTTTCTTTCAGGCGCTATTTTATCGGTTTGAGACGTTCTTGAAAAATCAAACGAACCATGTGTATTGCTGGGAATCAGCGATGCTGACAATGCCAAAGCGCCAGCATACCCAGCACTACCAACCCCCCAAGAACAGCATGTCTTCCAGACTCCTCCCGCAAAGGCCCAGCATGGTCATGAGCCAGTTTCCAGATAAGTTATATAACTTTTCCGGCTGGTATACGGTACACATTGTGGAACACGTGCTGGGAGGCTCATGTTGTAGGTTGACTGGCTCGCTGCAAGCTCAGGTGACGATACGGTTCAGAACCGACCAACGCTTTTGCACAGAGGCGTGCATTCTGGCCAACAAGACACAATTTGCACCAGTGTTTCCTTTCAAGTCACGAAAGCTAGCTGTAGCTAGCTGGAGTCTGTCTTGCTTTAGCAAGGAGGGGGGAAGCTAGGACCCCCCCGCGGTTCAACTCCTCCCTTCCGTTTCTCAGTTCCCAACGTGGCTGCTATTGCTGTTCCTGCTGTTTGCTGATGCTGCTGCTGTTCGCAGCTCTGCTGCTGTTGCTCTTTGTTGCTCGCTGGATGCTTGCTGCTGCAACCATGATGACTCATGGTGCTGAGTCCCTGAGGCAAGAGGTCATCTCCACGGAAAACACTGCGACAGAATGGCGAACATACATCTTTGTTGACAATATCATATTGTAGAGTTCATCTTTTTGCCGGGATTTGTTTCTAAAACCTGAACATCGTTGTTTGTAATTGGTGGACTTTCTTCTTTGCTTGAGACGTTTGGTGGATAACGGGAACACATTTTTACATTGTGGTCGCGCGGGGGGGGTGAAAAAATTGCACCCACAGACGAAGACGAATTGCGCAGACACTTTCCTGAGATGTATATGCGCTGAACCGAAGACGATTGCGAAGACGAAGACGAAGACGCGTCCCACGCAGACGAATTCCCCAGCGCAGACGAATTCCCTATGGAAGACGAAGACGAAGACACATTCCGTGAAGCGGTAAAGACTTCCAACGGAAAAAAAGCCGGACACGGAAGGAACAGCCCGAAGCAAAAGAAAGACTTGAAGCGGAAAGATACCGGATACGAAAACAACAGACCAGAAACGGATAAGACTTGAAACGGAAAAAAGCCGGATACGGAGGAAACAGACTGAGCGCGGAAACCATCAGACTTGGGTCCGCGCGCCGCAACCAGCTCTACAATATTCAACGGTGGGCCATTTTTTTTGTTTTTGGCTTCGGGCTTCTGGCTTCTGGCTTTTGGCTTCTGGCTTTTGGCTTTTGGCTTCTGGCTTTTGGCTTCTGGCTTTTGGCTTGCTTCTTGCTTTTGGCTTTTGGCTTCTGGCACAACGAAGCCGGCAAAATATGTTTTCGACTTTTGACTTTCGCAAAAAATACCTTTGAAAAAATGTGTGTTCATCGCTTGCTATCCGCAAACAGTTCACAGGAACTACAAGGATTCAACAAAAATCATCTCTGACCGGGGTATGTCTCACCAGCAACCCCGTTTGTTTGTGTGGATCTATGGGCTTTTGTTCAATTTGTGAGACAGACCCCGTGAAAGACCCCACAACGGTGGATGCTACGGGCCTCCTTTGACGCAAATGCCAGCGACCGTGTTCCAGAACGAAGACAAGCTGTAGCAAGGGATGGATATTTTGTTGGGTGCAACAACCTGCTTCAGAGGGACAAAGTTTCAATCACATGGGAACAAACGCGGGATACTTTGAATACCGGCTACTGGAGTTTTAAAGAAATGCGATAAAACGTCAAGAATAACGACACTAATAACATTTTATAGCCTTGGCGAGATTGTCAACTTCAAGCGTAAGACGAGAGCCAAATGCAGACAGAACAGCAACAAAAGCAACAACAGCAACCAAGACTAAGACCAAGAGCAAAAACCAGAAGAGGACACACCTTTATCCATAGAATACCTGCCCCTGCTAGAAATCTTTCCTTTGCTTACTAACTTACCTTTCACTCCTTGCTCACTTTCGACCCCTCTTGGCCTCAAGTTTTATTGATCTTTTGATAGCACATTAACGCAACGCAAGTCCTTTAGCTATGACCAGGCCTCCAGTCCATTCTATTGAACGTATCCTTAAATACGTCAAGTGTTCGTAGTGCCGTAGATACCGTCATATGTTTGATTTCAGGCCTCCATGGGCGCAACGCATGATCAAAGTGCATCTCCTCAAAATTTAACCATCCATTTCTGACCGGGGTGTGTCTCGTTATCAACCCCCCAAAGCTATTCATCCAATGTGCTTTTTCAAAACTATAGGGCTTTGTCGTTGTTTCATTGGCTACATTTTGTGAAACGTAAGACACACCCCCTGCTCCCTTGGTCCTTTGGTGCATGGCCACTAATTCTATCGTTAAATATTTGCAACATGTTGTAAATACATGCAACATGTTGTGAGTTCAGCTATCAAAACAGTGAGGACAAGACCGTAAGGTATCATTTAGAACGCTATAATAATGACAGTAATAGACATTCCATATCATGATTGATCCAAACTGTTGCAAATCCAGCAAATCTGAACCGCAATCCTACCAAATAATAACAAATCTCAACCTGAAACCTGGCAAAGCGCGGAGAAAACTAATAAAGGTTGCTGCAAATGCCAAGAAATCTCAACCTCAGACCTACGAAATTGCTGTGAATACTAGCAAATCTCAACCTCAAGGCTCCAAAAGTGCTGCAAATACCATCAAATCCCAACCTTTATATAAGTTACCCAAGTGTCACAAATAGCAGCAAATCTCAACATTAAAGTTGCCAAAGTGCTGTAAATACCAGGAAACCTGAACCTGAAACCCACAAAAACCTTGCAAATACCAACCCAAAAACCACCAAAGCTAAAAACCACAAAATCCCCCAAAAAAAAATCAAAAATTAAGTCGCGGCCCATATTCAACATCCGGCACGCACGCGCGCGCGGGGACCCAAGACATTGTCCGACATGCCACGGCTTTGCTGAAATGGGAAAAAGAGTTGCAAGGGAAAAAGACGGAAACTTCCCCCCTGCTTTCCAGAGAATCTTGGGATCTTGTTGTTGGAAGCCTTTGAATGATGCTGGCCCTGAACATACGCCAGACATGGTTGTGAACTCCACCTCAGCACCCTAAACAAAAAAACCCGCCTGCATACATACAGGGAGAAGCTTTTTCACCGATAAATAGATACACATCACTACACATTATTTTAAACTCGGGCGCGCGCGCTCGCCCTACAGTTTATAGTCTCAGTTTGTTTCAAGAGCATTGGCGGACCCAATTTTCCCTGGAAAAAACAAGATGGAACCCACGAACCCGAATGCAAACACGATCGAAAAACTAATATGTCCAAAGGACACTCTTGCGGGACACTCTGTAGGACACTCTTGTGGGCCACTCTTGGAGGAAACTCTTGTGGGACACTCTTGTAGGACACTCTTGTGGGACACTCTTATAGGACACTCTTGTGGGACACTCTTGTGGGACACTCTTGTGGGACACTTTTGTGGGACACTCTTGTAGGACACTCTTGTGGGACACTCTTGTGAGACACTCTTGTAGAACACTCTTGTGGGTCACTTGCAGGACACTCTTGTGGGACACTCTTGTGGGACACTCTTGTGGGACACCTTGTGAGACACTCTTGTCGGACACTCTTGTGGGTCACTTGCAGGACACTCTTGTGGGACACTCTTAGGAAACTCTTGTGGGACACTCTTCTAGGACACTGTTGTGGGACACTCTTGTGGGACACTCTTGTAGGACACTCTCGTCGGAAACTCTTGTGGGACACTCTTGTGGGACACTCTTGTGGGACACTCTTGTGGGACACTCTTATAGGACACTCTTGTGGGACACTCTTGTGGGACACTCTTGTAGGACACTCCTGTACGACACTCTTGTAGGACACTCTTGTGGGACACTCTTACACGACACTCTTGTAGGACACTCTTGTGGGACACTCTTGTAGGACACTCTTGTAGGACACTCTTGTAGGACACTCTTGTGGGATACTCCTGTAGGACACTCTTGTGGGGCACTCTTATAGGACACTCTTGTGGGACACTCTTGTGGGACACTCTTGTGGGACACTCTTGTGGGACACTCTTGTGGGACACCTTGTGAGACACTCTTGTCGGACACTCTTGTGGGTCACTTGCAGGACACTCTTGTGGGACACTCTTAGGAAACTCTTGTGGGACACTCTTCTAGGACACTGTTGTGGGACACTCTTGTGGGACACTCTTGTAGGACACTCTTGTGAGACACTCTTGTAGAACA